AAATAAGTATAATAATCCAACTTCAGCCCCAAAACATAATAGACCCTTTCTTAGGAAACAAGCTACCAACCAAATTCACACTGCCTATTTTAAGCCACAGAATATGCAGATCTTACTTAAAAGAAGAACTACAGACAATCAGAGATGAAACCCTCCATCCTCACTATCATCCGGAGCAATGAGCAGAAGAATTTTAGAAAGTTCAAAATAAGAACCATGTCCAGGGACTCTCGTGAAAATTAACCTTGTTATTTTAAGTTCACCGGTATCCCTTCAGAGGATCAGCTGTTTTGCCGGATCGTGCATCAGTCCATGCTTTTGCAATTGTTCTCTTCATTTCATCATCCCCTTCCTCGTACATATTCTGCAATTTATCAAAGAAAACAGATACATTAGCAACTACCCTCTCTGTGTGCTCTACCACAAAGCAGACCAGTACTCACCTTCATTAAGTCCATAATTCCAGCCATTGGATCTCTGTCACCATCAAGATTTGGTTTCAGCTGTAGAAGTTGGGAAACATGCATATTGGGTTAGCAATATTTTATTCAATTAGTTACACTTGCTGGTAAAACAAAATTCTTTCAAGGATTTTACCTTATCCTCCTTGAAGTGCAAGTCTAACCAGTTCCCTTTAGAAGATTTGAACAATGTAACAACGACCCTTGTAGGCTTAACTAGCACCTTACATTTCTCGGGTACAATTTCTTTGTTCAATTTTGGTATGGCACATCGGTAATTCTTGCCATTGACATCATGGAATTTGAGATCAACTGACATTGGCTCGAAATCTGTCTCCATCTTTTCCTGATCAACTCCTTCTAGAGATATGTATATCTGGAGAAAGTCGGCGGGACTCAGACAGACAAGTCGAATAAAGTAATAAAACTTGTAGGGGTAGAAGCTATTAAATAGTAAAATAAATTTGGTATCACTTAATGATAAAACTAGAAAATTTTATGAACTATGACTCCAACAAATTCACGCACAGCGTTTAAAATTCTTCCAGAAAAAATTCATGATTAATATCTTTTTGTATTACTTTCTTCGTCCTGAATATGTTACCTGTATCAGAAACTAAAACCCTCTATTGAGGGGCTGAAGCCAACAGGCTCTAGCAGCAGAACATTGTAG